GGGTTAATAGGGAAGAGAAGAGTTTTTAGGCGTCGTATAGAAAGGAAAAGGCAAGCAGGTGTGGTAAGAAAGCAAGGAATATAATTGCATGAGAACATTCACTTACCTCCGCTGTGCTGATATGACCGCCCATGCCACTTGCATGCGCTGCCGCAGCCAAACACACCCATTTGGAGAGGAGGTTAGGGGTAGGGGGCGAGAGGGGAGGGGTGAAAGAGGGGGGGGGGAGGAGTGGAAGGGCAGGGCAATGGAATCGAGGAGGACGAAAGGGGAGAGTGAGGAGATGTAGAGGGGCGGTGGAGAAGCAAGTGGGAATGAAGGCACGGAGTGTAGCATGAGAATAGACATTTGTTAATACACCCCATTTCTAGCTCATCATCCCTTCCTAGTGCCAGCTCATCCCTCCCCTTGCTAGCTTATCTCTCACCCTGGCTTGCTCATCATTCACTATTCACATACTCGTCCATCATCATAACATCCATCTTATATACCAGGGTAACGCCCGTACTAGTGATTCAAAAGTGAATCAGCCTCAGCACACCCATATCGATCAATGGCGACGGCCATTCTCGCACACAATCCACTCGTGGGGGCTCATACAGCCATCCATAAAGTGCGCAGCGAGGGGAAGCCATGCAATGGGTTTAGTGTGGTGGCGCCCAGAGGAGTCGGGCATTTAGAGGGTGTAGCGCTGTAGCAGTGCATCGGTGTCCGTACCTTGGTTCTCAGAGGAGAAAGAGGTTCTAGATCAGGACTTATACTTAAGAGGAAGGAGAGGGGAGGTGGTGTAGGACGAAAGGAAAGAACGCGATTAAGCCTCAACACTTTTGTGCCTCTCAATGAACGGAGCCAATTCTCTATCACATGCCACTTGCGCGAGTTAATGCAATCATACATAAGGTGAACGGCAAGGGGCGGTCATGCAATGCATTTGGTGGCACTGGGAAGAGTCGAGCATGTGCAGCGTGTAGCACTCTGGTTTTGGTGTCGGGACCAATGGGGTTCTCACCTCGTATTGAGGACCAGTAAAAAAAGAAGAGCAAGGGAGGTGGCTTTGACTAATTGCATATGTGAGTAATCACACGCCGTTTTGTATACTCCTATATTAAAATTACCTTTGAGAATTCTCAGAATTGGCCTTGACTATGTCTTTGACTATTTGCACCTCTGAGTCATCACACGTCGCTTTGCATTCTCCTTGCCATTGCGGCTGCATTCGATCTCAAATTATATCAAATCAGCGTGGCAAGATCTTTCTCGACGCACTCGTGAGGTTCAAGTTGCTCTATAATATCAAACAAGCACAGTGTATGTGGCAATGGCACCTCCACGCGCCTCCGGTGTGTCAGATCTCTTCAACTGCCTCACAAATAGGATTGCTAAGGCGTCTAGGGTGCACGATGAGGTGAAGTTTGCGGTGGCTAGGATTGCTAAGGCGCCGGGAAGGATGGTGTCGATGGAGGACGATTCGATGTTGATAGGGAAGTTGTCGAAGAGAAAGGCCCCGCCCTCGCTTGGGCGCGGCCGATCTTGCCGTCGATGAGAAGTTCTTGATGGAGTGGTCGTCGAGTGGGCTTCTGCTGTTCGACAAAAGTTGTGTTCAAGCAGGCTGTGCCCGACGGGATCTGGTAGACGACGTCGACAGGCATTGGTGGTCGACAGCGTTGGTCAACAAGTCCGTCGAGAGCTTTGGTTGAAGAGTTCTAGCCAAAAATCTTTGGTCGACATCGTCGATGGGCAGCGCTGGTCGACGAAGCCCGTCGAGAGGTGCTGGTCGACGAGGGAAGTCGAGGAGCGCTGATCGGCGAATGCTGTTCAACTGAGCGACGTCGAGCTGGTCGACCGAATTCGCAGAGGTGTGCAAAACTCTGCGGAGGTGTGCGAAACTCTGCGGAGGTCAATGTTAGAAAGGTAAGAGCAGAAAGTTTAGAACAAGAAAGAGGAGGGGTTGCACTAGCAAGCAGTTGAGTACATATAGCAAACCCTAAGATGGGTTGTACTCGCTATAGAGTACCCCACTACAGGCTAGACAAATACCGCATTCTGACACACCCCCATATCAGAATCCCAACCACTAGACCATTGGGATAAAAAGGCTTGTTAAGTAGCGGGTCAGTGCGCCCATAACCCCCCAAGCGAATGCGCCTGTAACCCTCTCCAGGATCAATCGGGCATCCACAGTGCAGATCTACTGACACCCCCCCTCACTGGGAGGCCTAGGACTAAGCACAGCGGCAACGGCCTACATGTGCATACACCGGGAACCGAACCCGAGACCGCTCTGATACCATATCAGAATCCCAACCACTAGACCATTGGGATAAAAGGGCTTGTTAAGTAGCGGGTCAGTGCGCCCATAACCCCCCAGGCGAACGCGCGTGTAACCCTCTCCAGGATCAATCGGGCTTCCACAGTGCAGATCTACTGACACCCCATAGCCAAAGTGGGGTGTAATCAGCACAACAAGCATGCAAAGAAATAGTTCACAATGATAAGTAAAGCTAGAGGCTATCACAGAGGGCAAGTGAGGAGGAGGAGAGACTGTGGGGGCGAGAAGATGGGAGGCGACTGCTGAAGCTGCAGACACACAGGAGCTGCTGGCTCAGTGGCTACCGAAGCAAGGGCCCGGACTACAAGAGTAACTGGCTCCGCGGAGATTGTAGCCTCCTGACTGGAGCAACTGACCCAGAGGCGACTGGCGACGACCGGAGATTGTAGCCTCCGGACTACTGGCGCTGCTGGCGACACGACGGCCGCCTCCACTCAACCTCCCCCAGCTGCCCCACGCCCCTATCACACACCCCCTGCTCCACCCCTAGCTCCACTCCCACGACACCCCCCTAGCACCACTCCTTCGGCTCCCACACACCCACCCCCCTGAGCGGTAGCTGCAGCAGCGGGAGACGGAGGAGGAGGAGGAGGAGGAGGAGTAGGGGACGGCGCACACAACCGGCACCCCCACAACCGCCACCCCCACAACCGCCACCCCCACAACCGCCACCCCCACACTCCCCACCCCCCAAACCCTAAAACGGGTGACACGGGGTAGGAGCGCGGGGGACGGCGAGGGGGACGGCGCGCGGCCCCTAGGGAGCCACCACGGGGCAGCAAGGGGCCGCGCGCGGCTCCCCAGGGCGCCGCGACGAGGCAGCGGGGGGGTCGCGCACGGCTCCAGGGGTGGCGCGCGGGTCCCCGAGGGCGACGCGAGGGTCGACGGGGGTGGCGCGCGGGTCCCTTGAGGCGACGCGAGGGTCGAAGGGGGTGGCGCGCGGGTCCCCTGAGGCGACGCGAGGGTCGACGGGGTGGGCACGCAGGTCCAGCGGGGCCGGCGCGCCAGGAAGAAAAGGGGCCGCGCGCCTCGGGGCGCGCCCCAGAGAGTAAATCGCCGCGCACCTACGTCGCAAGCCACGGGGCGTGCGACAGATCGAGTAGCAGCGGAAGCAGGTTGGTGGGCCCACAGGCCAAGGAAGGACTGGCTCTGATAGCATGTTAGAAAGGTAAGAGCAGAAAGTTTAGAACAAGAAAGAGGAGGGGTTGCACTAGCAAGCATTTGAGTACATATAGCAAACCCTAAGTTGGGTTGTACTCGCTATAGAGTACCCCACTGCAGGCTAGACAAATACAACATTCTGACAGTCAAGACAGGTCAACACATATTAAATAAGTCAACAGGGGTTAAAGAGGTCAACAGAGGTTAACAGAGGTAAAAATGTCAACCTTTATCAATAGAGTTGAACAGATGTCAGAAGAGGTAAAAAACGTTCAAAAAATGTCAACACTGGTAAGTTGTTTCGATACTATTGTGGAACCCCACCTTGCTCTGCAAACTGCAGAGATAACTACTACAACGGGAGCTAGACTACGGGCTAGGCATGGATGCTCGTGTGATCTATGCGTTCTCTGTTCCTTAGCCGTTTTCTTAGTGCACACACTGCTTGCTAGGTCACGGGGCAATCTGGCAAGAGTTTCACTAGAGAAAGTTTTCAACAAAGGTACAATGAAGTTGGCATGGCAAGACTACATCAGAGCTAGCATTCAGGTCGGTCGACTGCCAGCGCAGCATGGTCGACCGCGTTCCAGCACAACTTGGTCGACCGCGCTCCAGCAGTGCAAAGTCGATGGCGTGCCAACGTCGCAGGTTGACGGCGTGCCAGCATTGCTCCCGCAGAACAGCAGCGCACCCGCTTCGCATGTGCTCGCAGACGATAGGCGGGCTGAGCCTCGTCACCTGCACAACACACACACCAAGTCATCCTTGTGCTGACGACTCCACCTGATCCGCCATGTCGATCTCGGGATACCACCACCGAGGTCGGACTCGCCAACTTCGCCTGGGCGACCGTCGCACTCCTCGCAGAACCTCGTCACCCAGGTAACCTGGTCGACCGGGCAACCACGTCGACCAGCTGCTCCCGTACGTGCCCGTCGACCCCCCAAGTCGACGGCCACCTCCAGTTGGCCTCACCAGGTCGACCACACCCTTGGTCGACCACCTCCAGGTCGACGTCACTCCTGGTCGACCAGCTCCACGCAGACCAGCACTCCTGGTCGACCAGCTCCATGTCGACCAGTGCAGTTGTCAGCCGACCACCCAAGTCGGCAACCCGAAGTCGGCGTCACCAAGTTGACGCCCTGCTACTCGACGCCCAACTGCTCGGCGTCCTGAGTCGAGGTCGACGTCGGCCTTTCCTCCGTCGACCACCAGGTCAGGCCGACCACCAGGTCGACATCGCGCCTGGCCGACCAACCACCACGTCGACCAGCAGGTCGTTCAGCCGACCACCCGAGTCGGCTGCCCCGAGTTGGCGTCACCAAGTCGACGCCCCCCGCAGGTCGACTTCCTAGGTCGACCTCCCTTAAGTCGGCGCCACTATGAAGTCGGCGCTCATGCAGTGGCCCCCGCTGCTGCAAGCGAGCCGCGTGCACTCCTCGAGGCGGCCGGCAGCGATGCGGCCTTGATTGACTCCGTTGACTCGGAGGACCCGCGGGTGCTTCTCACGATGGGGAACGCAGCGGCGGACCTGAAGCAGTTGTCGGACGACGCCAGCAGCGCCGTGAAGAACGCTCTCGGGCAGGCGGGGAGGAAGGTGCGCAACTCGGTCGGGTCCATGATGGGAGTCCCGCCCAAGAAGGGCAAGAAGAAGCACCACTGCCCCGGCGGGAAGAAGCACCACCACCACCGCCACCGCGGGGGGAAGAAAATTAGGCCGGCGGGAGCTGGTAAGCGCAACTCGGGCGCAGCTCCCAAGGCGCCCGCTGCTCCCGGCGCTGCTGGCGCGAAGGGGGTTCCGAAGAAGCAGGCGGGAGCTGGCAAGCTCACCTCGGGCGCAGCCCCCAAGACCCCCGCTGTTTTGCCTGTTGGCATGGCGGCGGCCGTCCTGAAGGCGCAGGCGCCAGGAGCAAAGGTCACCTCGGGCGCAGCCCCCAAGCCCACCGCTGCCACCGCAGCCCCCAAGCCCACCGCTGCCAGCAGTGCTGCCAACAGTTCTGCGAGCAGTGCTGCGCCCGCCATTTGATTGGAGTACCAACCAGCAAGCGTGCAATGGAGGAGCAGAGGAGGGTGGCAGGGCGGCAGGGGCCTTGGACACAGGGAGATGCTGCGAATGGCAACTGGATCACCCTTTCATGCATGGGGAAGGGAGGGTTCGAGAAGGTCTGTTGCTTGTGATGTGGCATGCTTGTGGTAGTGCTGTGTGTATGCCTGCGTGTGTGTGTGTGTGTGTGTGTGTGTGTGTGTGTGTGTGTGTGTGTGTGTGTGTGTGTGTTTGTGCTGTTCCAGGGTTTGAGGGAGGTGTGGTGGGTAGGAGACCGTAGAAGGGGCAAGATGCCTCGCGTGTGTTTGGCTGCCGCACGCACGCCCTATTGCAGGAAGGAGCATCTTTGTGTTGCTCTTATTAGGGCCTGCCTTTGCTTTCTAGCTTGCATCGTTTGTTTCTTGAGTCCCCTTCTCTTTTACTCTGTTTGCATTTCGGTGGGCTGTTCTTCAATGGAAATCTCTTTCTTTAGCACCCTTATGTTCATCAATCCATGACTCTAGCTGCTAATCAACCAGACAAGAAAGTACATCTCATCATAAATCCAATAGGATCAAGCAAGATCTCGCCAGCACCGCTTCCCACTCCCCTCCACTCCCCATGATGACCCTCCATGCTCGTCACTCTCGAAAGTCAGCTCATTTCATCTATTGGGCCAAACGGATTGCTGGAGCGGGTGGAAGAACACGATCTCGCAAGCACGGCCTCCTCCTCCCCTCCACCCCCACTGCACTCCACACCCCATGACGAACCCCCCTGTTCCTCACTCTCAGATGACGTGGGTGAACTGGGCGGCGATATTCGGCTCATTACAAAAGCCTCCATGCTTCTTCGGCAATCGTTGCCTGCGGTCCCTTGCTGCTGCTGCTGCTGCTGTTGCTGCTGTTGTTGCTGCGCTAGTTGTAGCTGCTGCTGCCCCTGCCACTGATGCCACTGCTGCCCTTGTTGCTGCTGCTGCGTTGGGAAGGAACCAGGCATAGCAGCACCACCGTCCACCCATGTGTGATGACTAAACTCCATTCGACCGTACCCCAACTGACCAGCACCATCACTTCCCTCCATCCTCTCCTCCCTCTCGTCCCTAGCACCCCTCTCCCCCATTGCTCCTCTTGTCGCCTCCAGACTCCCCGCACCAGTCACCCCTGCTTGCCATCTTGTACCGTTCTCCACCATTCCACTAACAGCAGCATGCATACAACCAGCATCAGCAGCAGCAACAGGAGCAGGAAGAGCAGCAGCAGCACCACCAACCCCAGCACTAGGGACATTTGAGCCAACAGCAACAGCAGCAGCACCACCAGCACAACCAGCAGCACCTCCAGCAACCGCAGCAACAGCAGCAGCAGCAGCAGGGTCACTGAGTCCCGACGAGCTCTGAGTTCGAATCATCTGAGATCGCAGCAGCGCCGCCCGCCGCAGATTCTTGGCAGTACTTGGGTCATTAGGAGACGTAGGAAGCCGCCCGTCCAGCTGGTCATGCAAAAACCTTCCCTGCGCCGCCCGGGTTATGATACTGCCCGGACCCCTGCCCAAAAAACCCGGCGGTACCCGAACCAGGTTGGAGATACCAGCATTTGCGGGAGGGTCCCGCCCGGGCAGCGGCGCGGGAAAACTTTGACCTGCCCGCAAACTGGCGGGAGTATTACCACCATTAAGACCACTGCCGGTGGTATGGTTGCCGGTAATACTGTTATTGATGGCATAAGTGAAGGGAGCACGAGGGGAGGAGCGAGGGCTAGGGGAGCGATAACGACGGTCAGAGGCTGGAGAGATGTTCCTCTCACCCCCACTGCCGTGTACAAATGGGGCTGAGGGGGGGATGAAGGTGAGCGTGGGGGATCGGGAGGGGGAGGTGCTGGCTGCGGGAGGGCGATTTGGGTAGGTGAGCTCTGAGCTGGGTGCAATAGAGCCGGCTGCTGCTGCTCCTTGTGCTGCTGTCCTTATTTCTCCTGCTGTAGCTCCTGCTTCTGGTGCCGCTGCTACACTTGTTGCTGCTCCTGCTCTTGATGCTGACGCTGATGTGATGAAAAAGGGGGAGGTGACACAAGCGGCTGCAGCAGCAGCAGCAGCCCTCCACCCAACACTCTCCTCGCTGTCCTCTGAGAGGGACTCTGCAGGGGAGGACATGCCCTCGCTATAAGCACAAAAGGATAGATAGAACATAAAAAGGAAAATCACTACAGGTGGTGTAATCAATAACCACGTAAAAAACACAAGTTTGAAGAGTGGCATAATACTGATGCGCAGAATGAAGGAAAATATCCTCCTCATCAAAATTCAGGACCTTCAGCACATAAAATACGAATGTTCCAGGCGCGATGCTTACTTGTGGCTGGCAAATGGAGAGGCGGATCGAGCGCTGCCAGTTTGTGTGGTCTCCGTCGCCCCAGGAGACAGCAACAGGGCCTCAGGAGGTAAATGCAGCCCCACAAAAGCGCTGGGTGCACCTGGTGAACCACCTGAGAAACCACCTGAAACCGCAGAAGCAGGGGAGGAGCTGGTGTGGGGGCCGGGAAACCCTGTTGCACCTGCACCTGCACTTGCACCTGCACCTGCACCTGCACTTGCACCTGCACCTGCACCTGCACTTGCACCTGCACCTGCACTTGCACCTGCACTTGCACCCATTCGAATGGTAGGCGCCCCTAATTGTAGCGCTGCTGGTGATACTGGCCGTGCTGCTGCTGACGCCCCCCCTGCCCCTCCTGCTGCTGCTCCCGCCCAAGCTGCTGCAGCAGGAGGCGGCGATGCCATGGATCCTCCTCGCCCTGCTGCCACTGCTGCTGCTGCTGCCAGTGCAGCTGCCGCTGCTGCTGCTCTGCCTGCTCCTGCTGGGCTGCCTGCTACTCCTCCTCCGCCTGCTGCTCCTCCAGCCATGTGGGTGTCCTCCACTCGCAGGTTGGTGAGACTGTTGGCGATCAGCTGGAGCAAGGCAAGGCCAGGAAGGAGAGGGGAGAGCGGGAGATGGGGGGAGGTGGTACTTGAGAAGTGGGGTGTGCATGTGAGTGTCTCCCTCTCACAGGTTGGTGAGGCTCTTGGTGATCAGCTGGGGAAGATGAGGCATGGAGAGGAAGGCACGAGGGGACAGGGAGGCCATGAGCGTAAGCTGGGGCGTGCATGTTATTTGGTTGGAATGTGCATGTGAGTTCATGCTTAATGTGACTCCCTCCTCTGGGTACTCTGCGACTGGTGCTACTTGCTGTAGAGGGGATTACTCGCTGTAGTGCTACTCCTTATAAATCACAATTTAGTACACCCACCGCGCTCATGTACCGTTTGCTGCTGAAGAAGTTATCCAGCACCAGCTCATCCTCTGCAAACACCCTCGGTACCCGTTATAGTGCTATTCGTTATAGAGCTATTTATACACAATTTAATATACCCACCGCGCTCATGTACCGTTTGCTGCTGAAGAAGTTGTCCAGCACCAGCTCATCCTCTGCAAACACCCTCCCCCGCTTCCTACTGCCCAGCACACACGGAGCAGAAGCAGCGGCAGCAGGAGCAGCAGCTGTGGCAGTAGTAGCAGCACAAGCAGCAGAAGCAACACCGGTTGCACCAGTAGCGTAATCAGCACCACCGCCACCGCCAGCAGTCCCACCAGCACCACTGCCAGCACCGCCGGCACCAGCGTATACAGGGGAACCGGCAAACCATGTGGATCCCCCATTCGTGGGAGAACCTCCATATAAGCTTGGAGAGCCAGCCGCATATAAGCCTTGAGACGCTACACCCATGATGCGTCCTGGGGATCCATTTCGTGAGGCCAGAGGTGCACTGCAGGCAGAACCTGCATGGTTACCAGGTAACAAAGGATCCATCTGCGTTGGATTGAAGGGAAGGGACGGAAGGGGACGGGAGGGGAGGAGGGGTGAGGGGAGGGGAGGGAAGGGAAAGGAACGAAGGGGTAGGAGTAGGGGAAGGGGAAGGTGAAGGGAAGGGAAAGGAAGGAAGTGAATTGGAGGGAAAGGGGGGGAAGGGATGGGAGGGGGAGGGAAGGGAAGGGAAAGGAAGGAAGCTAATTGGAGGGAAAGGGCGGGAAGGGATGGGATGGAAATTAAGCCGTGGGTAGGGAAGGCACGGCGCGAGGAGTGGGAGTGGGAATGAAAGGCGAGTAGGAGATGGAAGGTGCAGCGAGTGTAAGACGGCACTGGCGCGGCGATGGTGGGATGGGGATGGCGGTTCTGTGCGAGTGGAGGCGCCTTTGATACTTTTGAGACGTCTCAAAAGTGGAGGTGGGGTGAGGTTGCGGAGATGGACATGTTGCTTACGACTCTGTTTTTACCGTTCGGTGTGGCGAAGCTCGTCGACGAATGCAATGACTGCGTGAATCAGTACGAAAAGGCGCCTTGGTTATAGAAGAAATAGTATTGCCTACTCTTCAGAAGGGCGTCTCGTTGCCTACATCCCTAGCAATAAGAGAGCACGAAGAAGCATACTCTGAACATTGACCCCGCGATTTACACACGCGGTCGACACCCCCTTTCTCAAGCGTATGCGATACTCGCTGTCAGCAGTCAGTGTCAGGAATCTGAGTCAGCAGTCAGTGTCAGGAATCTGAGTCAGCAGTCAGTGTGAGCAGTCTGTGTCAACAGTCTGTGCGCGTGCTGCAATACTGTGTAACCGCTAACCGCTCATATTTCTCTTGGCGGCATTCGCCCTATAATACCAACTGCATACATGGCCGCAACGCTTAGCCGACAGGTTTCGGTCGTGGCATCCGTCGTTCCCTACGCTGTCTCAAAACTCGAACGTAACATTCGCCCTCATACTAGCGGCAGTCTACGACTACAATCGAAGCGGCAGGACGACGACGCCAAGATTTGGCCGAGTATGGTATTGCGGCTCGTTAGAATTTGCGCATCTAGTCATAAATCCGCCGATTATGGCGCTTCCGAGGCTGTAAGCACGGAGCAGAGCATACTGTACGGTACACCTGAAGAGTTTGACTGGGTATTTGTGTTGCACACTCGATAAGATACGCAGTATTGTACGCTTCATAAGCATAATGTCAATCAGGCATTGTTTTGGTGCTACAAAAAGGACGGAGTCCAGAACGCTTGGTAATGTTTTGGAGAATCACAAGTTCAAAGTAGTAACATTAACGAGGACGAAACCAGTGTATTGTGCCTTCGCACACGCTTGTTGCCGGAATGGGCTCGAACAAAAACGAACGCGTTCCAAGTGCGGGTCATTCAAGGCACATGATAGGAAATGAACCCCAGCTGAAGCTGAATTCAAAGGTCTCGGTCGTTCATCCAATACCCTTTGCCTCGAGAATGCCGAGAAATACCTCTGTTGCGCAATGAAGTTGAACCACGGAAGTTCGTCCAGACTTGGTGCAGAACAGAACAACCTGGGGTCAAACCTAGAGTCTAGATGCCAGCCAATGCTTCTAATTTTGATGCAAGGCATTGTGTTGGATTTATGCTGTGATCTGTGCAATGAGGTTAGGGTGGTCCTGCGAACCGCATGTTCTAGACCTCTCTAAGGCAAATTAGGAAGTTTTTGACGGTAGCGGCACGCGGCGAGCTTACCCTACCCCATTATACTTCGCAGCATAAAGCTCTTGAGGGAGCTGACTTGATGAGGCTCTAGTAGTGTGTTTCGCAGTTATAAGTGGTATCTTAGGGGGGTACTTGACAGGGAAAGCGAGGGCACCTCGAAGCGCGGAGTGCTTTCGCGCTTATTGCGCCGCTATTCACGCTTCTTGCCTCCGCTCGTGACTGCCTACGTGTTCTAGTATCCACTAACGGCTCGTTAGACGTTCGCGTCGCATCTCCATCGTTTCGCATATCCGCGGTATCGTCATGTCCGCAATTTCGTTACAAGCCTTCCGGCCGACCGCGGAGAAGGTGTACCACGTGGACGTGCACCCCACGCTGCCGTGGATCGTCTCATCGGACGGCCACGATAACGTCGTCGTATGGGACTGGGAACACCGCCAGGTGTGTACTTTACCCTGTAATTCGAGGGTAAGTTAGGAATGCTGTTCGAGGTGAGCCGCGGTTTGATACGACTCGGAAAGCACCTGGAGTAGCTGTCAGGTGACAGCTGGCAAGCTCACGTGCTGATACCAATGGCCCTGATAGTCTATAGCTATTAGCACTGTCAGCGCCTGACAGCACTGATGATCCTCAATAACACTAGTAGCGCTGGCAGGTGCTGCATGAGGTGAATTCATGATGCCAATGTATTTGTAATGATTGCCATCGGTGCACTGATGACACTGTTGACCCCATTGGTGGCCCCGGCAGGTGCTATACGAGGTGAACGCGGGGGGGGTGGACGAGCGCCGTTTGGTGGACGCGCAGCTGCAGCGCATCGCCGATGGGGAGGAGCGTGAGTGGATTACTTCTTAGGGTGCCCTTAGATCTTAGCGTTGTTGCCTGTAGGGGAGCAGTTGTGTGAGTGGGCTGATGGGAAGGAGGAGCGAAATCGGTGCCTTTGCAGCCTTGCTCCCTTTTTTCTCTGTGTGACCAAATCGGAAGTTAGCTGGCACTACGCACGCGTTTCAAATCGGATACGCAGGCACGTGCGAGCGCCATACACTTCTTTCTCCTTGTTGCTGCGGCGTGCTTTCTCCTTCCCTGCAGATGCCAAGACACGGTCGTCAGCAGTGGGAGCAGAGGCCATACGAGGAGGAGGGTGAGTACACACCGGCACCTCTTCCCCCCTGTCCAAAAGCTCTGTGTGGTGGATCCCTTTCCGTGGCTGAGTGTTCATTCCTCTGCTGCCGCTCGTTCTTCACTGCTCCGTTTGGTGAACCCCTTTCTGCTTCTCTTGCTCCGTTCCACTGTGCACCACAACGCCCACCTTCCCCCCTCAACCAAGCAGTGCCTGCTTCCATCTATCCCATATCTCCCCTATTTCCTGCTCCCCTTGCTTCCTCCTGCGCCTCTCTCTCCCCTATTCCCCCTATCCCTTATTTTTCGATTCCCCTTTTCCCCCGTTTTGTTCCCTCTATCCCCTTCTCCCACATCCCATCCCACCATCACCTGTCCCTTCCTTCTCCCCCACCCACACAGAGTGAAGGACGTCAAGTTCTATGACGACGACGATGTTCGCTTTTGTACAGGAGCCATTGCCCGGGCAGCAGTGGTGCAAGCAGCAGTGGCCGTATCCCCCACCTGCTGTTTAACATGCTCTGCCCTACTCTCTATTCCACCACCAATCCCTCTATCCCCTGCTCCCCCACCACCTCCCAGAGTGAAGGACGTTAAGTTGTATGACGACGATGGACCGGAGCCATTGCCCGGGCAACAGTGGTGCAAGCAGCAGGGCGGCTGAGCAGGCTGAACTCCTCATTTCACATGTCCCATTTGCCCATCTACCTGTTACACCCCTCCAGAGTGAAGGACGTTAAGTTTTATGACGACGATGTTCGCTTTTGGACTGGAGCCATTGCGCGGGCGGCAGTAGCCGAATCCCCCACCGTTACATCTGCCGGCCTCCTTGTGCCGCCCATCGGCGCCGCCCCGTCCGCGGTGCGCGGGCGGCGGTTCTTGTTTGTATGCTGTGACAACAAGGCGATTGTCGCCGACCTTGTGACGATGAGAACAAAAGACATCCCCAAGCTGCTGCTGGACAACCGCTCTCCGCTTTGGTGAGTTAAGAGGAGTTTGTTGCATAACAATCGCTCTTCACTCTGGTAAGCCAAGAGGAGTTTTGAGCTGTGGCATGCTTCTGAAAACTCTCACAGGACACTCCCACCCTGCTGCTTGACAGTTTATTTTTGCTTTGGTGAGATGGGAGGAGCTGTAGAATTTTCCTGAGAACTCTGAAAGGTCATTCCCAAATTGCTGCCAGTCTCTTTCCACTTTGATGAGTTGATAGACATTGTGAGCATTCTTCTAAGAATCCAGAATGGGCTCAATGTGACGCCATCAACTTGTTGAAATGAAACTGGCTGCGAGCTAATGCTTCTCTTTGTTTTCTCCCCCACCTCCTTCCCCACCTCCTCCCCCCCACAACCCCCTCTCCTCACCAGTGTGGAGTTTCTACCTCGCTCCAGTGCGCTGGGCGACGGTCCCTTTGCGTGCTTTGGAGGGCCTGATGGAGCCATTCGGGTGCTCTCCCTCGCAACCTGGCAGGTGAGCCGCGAGCGTGCTGGCAGGTGGCTGGCAGGTGGCTGGCAGGTGGCTGGCAGGTGAACAAAGCCTGCACTGATTTTCGCCACTCGAAGATCCACTTTTTCTGAACGCGCTTTTGCTTTCCTGACTCGCTCTTTCTTGCTGCTCGGGCCCCAACCTTATCCCTCTGCTCCTGTCCCGGTGCGTATTTCTGCCCATCCCTGCCTGTCTCTGTCTGTCCGGGACCCTCCTTGTGTCTGTGTCCGTTTAATCTATGTGACTCCGCCTGCTTTTGTCTGCCTCCATGCCTCCCCTCCCTGCCTCTCTGTTTGCCTCCCTATTCGCCCCTCAGATATCGCGCAAGTTCACAGGAGGGCACAAGGGCGCAGTGCACTGCCTGCTGCCCTTTATGGCGGGCAATGGGGAGGTGAGGACGGGTGGGAGGCTAGGAGAAAGGGCATGGGAACGGGAGGGACGGAGCTGCACATGTGCGGGTGGATGGGACACACACACACAAGAGGGAACAAGGGCGCAGTGCACTGCCTGCTGCCCTTCATGGCGGGCAATAGGGAGGTGAGTGCAAAGGGGAGGTGGGCGTGGTAAGGGAAGAGGGCAGGGCAGCACATGGGCGGACAAGTGGGCCACACAACAAACACGGATCTTGTCCCTCTCTCTTGCCTGCTCACCCTCCCTGGTCTCCCTCTCCAACTCTCAGGCATGCTGGTCATGTGGGGAGCGAACTCTCTCAGGCGAGCACAGCAAGGGAAGTGGCGCCCAAGCTCACTCTCCCCAAGGCTCATGACGGGGGAGTGGTGGGTATTCGCCTGGCTCTCCCTTAACTATCCTAACCCCTTCCTTTGCTCTCGCCCTCTGTACCCTCGATGCTCTCTCATCCGTCACCCTGCTCAGATGCTGCTGGCATCAGGCGGTGCTGATGGAGTGCTGGTCATGTGGGGGGCGGATTCCCAAACGAGCGCATCCGGGGAGGTGGCACCCAAGCTCACTCTCCCCAGTACCTCTTATACTCACCTCCCTGCTCCCTCTCCCGTGCTCCTGCTCTCCCATCCCTTCTCCAGATGCTGCTAGCATCAGGATGAGCGGATGGTGTGCTGGTCATGTGGGGGGCGGACTCCCAGGCGAGTGCAGCAAGGGAAGTGGCGCCCAAGCTCACTCTCCCCAAGGCGCACGGCGGGGAGGTGGTGGGCATCAGCCTTGCTCTACCTTTCCTACCAAACCCCTTCCTTGCTCTCTCTCTGCCTCCCCTGCGCTCCCATACCTCACTCCCCCCCCAGATGATGCTGGCATCAGGAGAAGCGGACGGGACTCTTGTCATGTGGGGGCGGGACTTTTGGAGCGCTACTACTTCCCTTGCTGCACCCGCCTGAAAGTCCTCCCCTGCACTCCCGTACCTCACTCTCCCCCCAGATGATGCAGGCATCAGGAGGAGCAGACGGGACGCTGGTCATGTGGAGGGCGGGAATTTTGGTGGGCATCAGCACGGCTCTCCCTTTCCTCCCCAAATCCATTCCTTGCTCTCCTATCCCGCTTCCCAGATGATGCTGGCATCAGGAGGAGCGGACGGGACTCTCGTCATGTGGGGGGCGGACTCACAAGCAAGCGCAGCAAAGGAGGTGGCGCCCAAGATCACTCTCCCCAAGGCGCATGACGGGGGGGTGGTGGGGATCAGCCTGGCGCGCATCCACGGCGCTGCCCCCCATCTGGTCACGTGCGGCGGTGACAAGGCCGTGGCATTCTGGGATACCACCATGTTCCGGGTGCGTTCAGAGTTGGAGTATGGTGCGGTGCAGTGCGGTGCAGTGTAGTGTGGTGTGGTGTGATCAGGTATGCAAGCGCCCAAGATCACTCTCCCCAAGGCGCATGACGGGGGGGTGGTGGGGATCAGCCTGGCGCGCATCCACGGCGCTGCCCCCCATCTGGTCACGTGCGGCGGTGACAAGGCCGTGGCATTCTGGGATACCACCATGTTCCGGGTGCGTTATCAGAGTCAGGGTGCGGTACGGTGAAGTGCGGTACGGTGCAGTGCAGTGCACCTTGTGATGTGCAGTGCTGACAAGGCCGTGACACCACCCTGTTCCGGGTGCGTTGGTTGGTGCTAGGATGTCAGGGGTTCAGGATGTATCGAGGTGTGCTCCTTTCTTGTACTTCTTACTGAGTATGCTGTCAGGGGAGCACACAGAGATGCAATTCTCTCCCCTGCTTCGCCATTCCCAAGGCTGATATTCCCCCGTATTTGAGTTGCGATTCATTCACTGCTTATTTTCTGCCCTTTCCCCCTTCATGTCTTGCCTCACTGTGCCTCGCCTTGCCTTTCCTTGTGTCTAATCTTTGCAGGAGGTGCGGCGGATAAAGCACGCCATTCCCAAGGCCGACTGCAACACTTGACTTGGCTGCACTCACTTACCATCTGCCTTTTCCCCTCCCTTCCCGGTCCATCTCTTGCCTTGCCTCGTCGTGTCTTGTTTACTATCTGATACAGGAGGTTTGCCAGATGAAGCATGCCATTTCAAGGCCGCTTGCCTGCCACACTTTGAATTGGGTCTACTCACCTCACCACTTACCATCTGCCCTTTTCTCTTACTTCCCACTTATGTATTGTCTTGCCTTACCCCCTCGGTTCCCTGCAGGAGGTGCGGCGGATGAAGCATGCCATTCCCAAAACCGTCTGCCACACCATTGCCAGCTGGCGCCACCCGCGTGTGCCAGCTGTCGAGGTGCTCGCCTGCGCCAAGGACTCGCACGTGTGGTGGGTGGCGTGCTTTGTCTCTTGTGTGGGTGGCGTGCTTTGGCGCTTGTGGTGGGCAGCAGGGACTGGCGGAGCGAAGGGATGTTGCGTTTGATGCACGTGTGGACTAACGGTGTGTGCATGGGTTGCTGGCTAGATGGCATGCTTCTTATTTCAGAGCAATGGAGGCAGCAGGAGGCAGCAGACCCATCTATGACCTCGCCACGCCACTCACACGCACCCCCCATCTCCCTCTCCTCTTCCCCTCACTCTTCCTTCACCTGCCCGTGGCCAATCTCTTCCCCATCTTCGCCTCAGGGCGTTGGAGGCATCAGGGGGCAGCAGGCCCATCTGTGACCTCTCCACTCACGCACCCCCCACTCTTGTCTTCTCCTCTTTCCCTGCCCCTCTCCCCCTGCTTCGCTTCCATCACTTTCCCCACCCTAATGGCACTGGAGGCATCACGGGGCAGCAGACCTATCTGTGACCTCCCACTCACACACCTCCCCTCCCCCGCTCAAACCTTCCCATGGTGCATCCCTCCATTTCCCTCCACCCTCTTTCTCAGGGCGTTGGAGGCATCAGGGGGCAGCAGGCCTATCTGCGACCTCTCCACCCACGCACCCCCCACTCCCCAGTTGGCAGCAGGCAAGAAGCTGAAGGTGAGTGGCAGCAGGGAGGAAAATTTAAGTGAGTGGTAACAGGCAGGTGCGCTTTGAGACTATTAAAAAAAAACACATCTCCACCCACACACCGCACCACCCACTCCCCAGTTGGCAGCAGGCAAGAACCGCAAGGTGAGTGGGGACAGGCAGGCAGCTTTGACAGACAGACAGACAGACAGGCAGGCAGGCAGGCAGGCAGGCAGTTTTGAGAATCAGAAGCTCATGGCAGTGACTGGGGTTTGCAGGAAGTTGCTTAGAAGAGCGAGTCTGGATGTGAGAAAGAAGCTAGAGTGAATTACGCTTCTCATCTCATCTGCTTCGACCCTTTTCCTCCTCCCTCCCGCTCTCTTTTTTCCTCCCTCCCCCTCCGCCCCTCCCTCCGCATCAGATCTGCTGCATGATGTCACACAGCCTGCAGCCACACAGCCTGCAGCCACACAGCCTGCAGCCACACAGCCTGCAGCCACACAGCCTGCAGCCACACAGCCTGCAGCCACACAGCCTGCAGCCACACAGCCTGCAGCCACACAGCCTGCAGCCACACAGCCTGCAGCCACACAGCCTGCAGCCACACAGCCTGCAGCCACACAGCCTGCAGCCACACAGCCTGCAGCCACACAGCCTGCAGCCACACAGCCTGCAGCCACACAGCCTGCAGCCACACAGCCTGCAGCCACACAGCCTGCAGCCACACAGCCTGCAGCCACACAGCCTGCAGCCACACAGCCTGCAGCCACACAGCCTGCAGCCGCACAGCCTGCAGCCACACAGCCTGCAGCCACACAGCCTGCAGCCGCACAGCCTGCAGCCACACAGCCTGCAGCCACACAGCCTGCAGCCGCACAGCCTGCAGCCACACAGCCCTGCAGCCAACAGCCTGCAGCCGCACAGCCTGCAGCCACACAGCCTGCAGCCGCACAGCCTGCAGCCACACAGCCTGCAGCCGCACAGCCTGCAGCCGCACAGCCTGCAGCCGCACAGCCTGCAGCCGCACAGCCTGCAGCCGCCACAGGCCTGCAGCCACACAGCCTGCAGCCGCACAGCCTGCAGCACACAGCCTGCAGTCCTCACAGCCTGCAGTCTCCACAGCCTGCAGTCTCACAGCCTGCAGTCTCACAGCCTGCAGTCTCACAGCCTGCAGTCTCACAGCCTGCAGTCTCACAGCCTGCAGTCTCACAGCCTGCAGTCTCACAGCCTGCAGTCTCACAGCCTGCAGTCTCACAGCCTGCAGTCTCACAGCCTGCAGTCTCACAGCTGCAGTCTCACAGCCTGCAGTCTCACAGCCTGCAGTCTCACAGCCTGCAGTCTCACAGCCTGCAGTCTCACAGCCTGCAGTCTCACAGCCTGCAGTCTCACAGCCTGCAGTCTCACAGCCTGCAATCTCACAGCCTGCAGTCTCACAGCCTGCAGTCTCACAGCCTGCAGTCTCACAGCCTGCAGTCTCACAGCCTGCAGTCTCACAGCCTGCAGTCTCACAGCCTGCAGTCTCACAGCCTACAATCTCACAGCCTGCAGTCTCACAGCCTGCAGTCTCACAGCCTGCAGTCTCACAGCCTGCAGTCTCACAGCCTGCAGTCTCACAGCCTGCAGTCTCACAGCCTGCAGTCTCACAGCCTGCAGTCTCACAGCCTGCAGTCTCACAGCCTGGAGCCGCACAGCCTGGAGCCTCATCTGGTGGTCTGCGGAACCAACGTGGGGGTGAAGCTCATCTGCTTCCACCCCTTCCTCTTTCTCTCCCCCTCTCACTCCTCGTCCCCATTGTCCCCTTCTCTCTCTGCATCAGATCTACTGCATGATGCCGCACAGCCTACAGCCTCATCTGGTGGTGTGTGGCACCAACGTGGGGGTGAAGCTCATCTGCTTCCACCCTTTCCTCTTTCTCTCCCCCTCTCACTCCTCGTCCCCATTGTCCCCTTCTCTCTCTGCATCAGATCTACTGCATGATGCCGCACAGCCTACAGCCTCATCTGGTGGTGTGTGGCACCAACGTGGGGGTGAAGCTCATCTGCTTCCACCCTTTCCTCTTTCTCTCCCCCTCTCACTCCTCGTCCCCATTGTCCCCTTCTCTCTCTGCATCAGATCTACTGCATGATGCCGCACAGCCTACAGCCTCATCTGGTGGTGTGTGGCACCAACGTGGGGGTGAAGCTCATCTGCTTCCACCCTTTCCTCTTTCTCTCCCCCTCTCACTCCTCGTCCCCATTGTCCCCTTCTCTCTCTGCATCAGATCTACTGCATGATGCCGCACAGCCTACAGCCTCATCTGGTGGTGTGTGGCACCAACGTGGGGGTGATGCTCATCTGCTTCGACCGCACTGCCGTGCCCCCTGCAGCCGCTCTCCCCACACCCCAGGGATCCAGGCAGCACCAGGTGAGGATTTGGGATGGGAGCGAGGGATATTAGAATTAGAGTGCACATGTGATTGAGTGAGTGAGTGAGCGAGTGAGTGAGTGAGCGAGCGGATGAGTGTGTGGCACCAACGTGGGTGGGGGTGATGCTCATCTGCTTCGACCGCACTGCCGTGCCCCCTGCAGCTGCACTGCCCACAACCCAGGGATCCAGGCAGCACCAGGTGAGGATTTGGGATGGGAGCGAGGGATATTAAAGTGCACATGTGAGTGAGGGACTGAGTAAGTGAGTGTGTGTGGTACCAACGTGGGGGTGATGCTCATCTGCTTCGACCGCACTGCCGTCCCCCCTGCAGCAGCCCTCCCCACGCCACAGGCCTCCCGGCAACACCAGGTGGGCAAATGGGATGCAAGGGATATCAGGATGCACGTGTGAGTGAGTGCCTGAGTGAGTGAGTGAGTGTGGCACCAACGCGGGGGTGATGCTCATCTGCTTCGACCGTGCCTCCCGCAGCAGCGCTTCCCATCCCACACCACAGGGCTCCAGGCAGCACCAGGTGGGCACATGGTGCATATGGCCGGCACACCTTGTATTGTATGGTATGCACATCATGACTATGGGCAGCACGCCTTGTATTGTATGGTATGCACATGGTGACTACGGGCAGCACACCTTGTATTGTATGGTATGCACATGGTGACTACGGGCGGCACACCAGATATGCTGTGCACAAGGGATTGAGTGGGTAATTCCAGTAGCCTCCGACCGAACTCACTAGCCCCTAGAGTTGGAACTTGGATGAGCCAAGAACGCCTTGGACCAAACTGCTGGTGTGGCCACAGCCAACACTGAGTGTTCTCATGGTTTAAGAGTGAGTGAGGTAGATCAGAGGCTGCCAGTGCAGCCCCATGCTCCAGCCTACTACCACCAATTCCCCCTCCTCTTCTCCTCCAGGTGGCGTTCTGCTGCCTGAGCAAGGGGCGGAATGCGCTGGCGTTCCAGCTACTCATTGACTCACCCTCGCCTGCCCTCCTCCATCGCTACTCTTTCCCTCTTACCCCTTCTCTCACTCCCTTTCAGGTGGCGTTCTTCCTGGGCAGGGGGCTGAACGCGCTCGCCTTCCAGCTGCTGACTCGACTAGACTCAGAAAATTGTTTGATCTGGTAGTGTTTGTGAGGCGTATATTCCCAACCTACTACCACCCGTCCCCTCCCCTCAACCCCTCAGGTGGCGTTCTGCCTGGGAAGGGGGTTGAACGCGCTCGCCTTCCAGCTGCTAACAGCAGGGCAGGTTGGGCCTGGGGCGGGTGTGACTGTGGCGGGGGGCGGGGGCAGTGGCAGTCAGAGGCCCGTCACTCCCGCTGGAGTCACACGGGTGGATGCGCTTGAAGCTGCCGTGCCTGAGGTGAGTTTAGCGCTGTCTTGAGGGTGGCTGGTTGGGAAGGGGGCAGCGCAGTGGCAGTCAGAGGCCCGTCACCCCGGCTGGAGTCACACGGGTGGATGCCCTTGAAGCCGCCGTGCCTGACGTGAGTCAGTATTGCCTTGAGAGAGGTGTAGCTAGGCTGAGTATGCAGCGAGTGAGTGTGACTGTGGTGGGTGGGGGGAGAGTGGCAGCCAGAGGCCCGTCATTCCTGCTGTAGTCACGAGAGTGGATGTGCTTGAAGCTGCCGTGCCTGAGGTGAGTTGAGTCTGTAACGGGTATGAATTTGAGGGGGTGTGACTGGGGCGAAGGGGGGCTCGGGAGGGGGGTGGGGACAGTGGCAGCCAGAGGCCCGTCATTCCTGCAGTAGTCACCAGGGTGGACGCGTGAAGCTGCTGTGCCTGAGGTGAGTCGGTCCTTAAAGGGTATAGAGTGCACGTGGACGGACAATATCCGAATCACCTCATTGTCAGTTTATAAAAGCTCAAAGCTCTTGTATGGTGTTTCTGTTTTGCCTTCCTGCTTGTGTTGCTTCCCCACTCCACCCGCTCGCCCCACCTGCTCACCCTACGTGCAGGTGAAGCAGGAGAGGCGGAGAGCAGTACCTGTTGCACATGAGAGCTACTCGCACCTCTCTGTCAGCAAGTCCGGCAAGTAAGTAGGTCCGGCTAGTAAGTAGGTCCGGCAAGTAAGTAGGTCCGGCAAGTAAGTAGGTCCGGCAAGTAAGTAGTCATACCCATGATGGACATCCCACCAACTGAGGCTTGCCACAATGACTATCAGGCTTTGCAATGCAACAATGTCTGACTATTATGCAAGCCCTAATCTCGAGATTACAAACCAAACCGACCAACTCCCGTCATCAAGAACGTGGCAGTGCTGCAGTGCAGCCCTTCACGCCTTACCCTTGGCCCTTCGCTTCATTGATTCCACAAGAACTGCACTAGGTAGCTTGAACGGCTCACCTTGGTGTGCTGCTTACGGTAGGAGGAGCAGGAACGATTTAAACTGCTCAGTGCATGTGCTAAGCTGGAGGGGCTAAGGTCGCAACAGAGTGACATCTTTCTAAACGCAGTGGTAGCGGAAGCTCGCTGTGATTGCTCGTTTGTTCGACCGTGGTCAGGTGTAAAATTTCCCAGCGTGCCTCCCGCTACCACTGCATCTGAGAATGTGTCATTTTGTTGCACCCTTAGCTCCTCCAGCTTACCACCTGCACTGAGCAGTTGGAGCAGTTCATGCTCTTCCGACCTCAAGCAACACACCGAGTCGAACTGTTTGAGTGGCCCTGATCCTGCGCCCCTCCATCCCTCGCCCCTTTCCATTGGATTGAACCCCACAACCACTCCAGGTACCTGGCAGTGCTGTGGCCCGAGGTGCCGTTCTACAGCGTGTACAGCACAGCGGACTGGGGAGTGGTGGACTCGGGCACGGGTCGCCACTTTCCCTTGGTCCCTCACCTCCCTTATTTCGTCCCTCACTTTCCGTCACTCCTTTTTTATCAGATATCTTGCAGTGCTGTGGCCAGAAGTCCCTTTCTACAGCGTGTACAGCACAGAGGACTGGGGAGTTGTGGACTCGGGCACGGCGCGCCACTTCGCCTGGGACACATGTCAGGACCGCTTTGCCATCCTGGGAGGGGCCGTGGTGCCCAAGGTAATGCCACTGCCACTGCCATGATGCCATCACCTCTGCGGCTCTGCGTTCTTCTGAGCTGCCTGTGCCTGCAATCTCTGTCACCTCGGACTTGCCTCTCGCCCTCGGACCGTCCCCCCAGGTGCAGAGCAACCTTACCACCAGTTCAGGCAGGCACAAATTCTAGATAAAAAGCAAGAGGGGTGCCAAGGAGGCAGAGGCGGCAGCAGCGAACCACTTTCAAAACCCTTTTCTTTTGCGCCTCCTGACTTTTGAGACGTCCTGATGGCTTTTGAGACGTCTCAAAAGGAGGCAGAGGCGGCAGCAGTGGCTACCACTTTCTAAACCCTTTTTTTGTTTGCTTCCCACCCTTCCCACCCCACCCCTGTTCCGCCCAACCCAGGTTCAAAGCAGCTCTGCCAGTTCAGGCAGGCACGGGTTCAGAGGGCAAAGCAAGAAGGATTCCGAAGAGGCGGAGGCGGCAGTGGCTACCACTCTTGAAACTCTTATCTCGCTCTGCCTCCCACCCTTCCCAACCCCACCCGTGTTATTTCCCCCTCCAGGTTCAAAGCAGCTCTGCCAGTTCAGGCAGGCACGGGTTCAGAGGGCGAAGCAAGAAGGATGCCAAAGAGGCAGAGACAGCAGAATTCAACTCTCTTCCCTGTCCCTCCCTCTTGCGCCTCCTGTCTGGTATTCTCCTTCCCTCAGGTGCAGAGCAGCTCTGCCAGTTCAGGCAGGCACGGGTTCAGAGGGCGAAGCAAGAAGGATGCCAAAGAGGCAGAGGCGGCAGCTGCGGCTGCCATGGCTGCTGCAGCTGCAGCTCTGGCCGGGGCGACTGTGGAGGTCCGGCAGATCCGGAAGGATGGGAAAGTGCAGATCATGTGCACATCCATTGAATCTGGACGCCGCGAGCAGGTGTGTGGGAAGTAAACTGAGAATTGAGACGTCTGGAAACTGGATTCAGTGAATCTGGACGCCGCGAGCAGGATTTCGTACGCCCTCTGGTCCCAACCCTGCAGTTCACAGGTCTTCTCATGGCTCTCACAAGGCGTTCCAACCTCTGGTGCTGTCTCTGCAGGTCATAGGGCTCTTCCCAGGCGCGCTGCTGGGAGTGGCCTATCGCATGCCCAAGAAGACATCTCTGCCAGGGGTCAGCCTGCCCTCTGCTGCGCTCTCCTCACGAGCTGGTGGGTTGGGGTCTGGGGCCTCTGGATTCCTGAGAAGCTAAGGGCAGGACTGGTGTGAAGAGCAGCAAGGATCCTCGTAGGGGGTCAGCCTGCCCTCTGCTGCCCTCTCCTCCCGAGCTGGTGGGTTGGGCCCGCTAGAACGCTAAAACGCCTGAGAATTCTAAAAAAACTCCTGTTGCGTGGAAACACACATGTCATGGCAGTTTGAGCATTATGAGGCCCTTTAGCTTGGTTATTTTGTTCTTCATGCTCCAAATTCCTATTTCCTCATCATCCTCTCGCCCATTCAGAATCAATGGCTGACTACAGTGAGCACCCGCCAAACTTCCACCTTATAAGGTACTCCCTTTCCCTAACAATCAGTCAGCCCATCAGCCTTTCAAACCTTCTCTCTATCAGTGTCTCACGTTCTCGTATTTCACCTTAACTTCCTCCCCATCCTTCTACCAACTGTCTGCTCCGGCTGCCCTCACCCTTTCTCCCACTTCCCACTCCCCGTCCCTGTCGCACCTCTTCCTTTCTTCAACCGCTCCCTTCCCATTCTCAGCTGGAAGACATTCAAGCCAATCAGCGGCATGCTCTCAAAACCGCACTGGACTGCATGGGACCCTGTAGTGGAATATTGCACCTTTGCCTCCCTCTCGCCCTCAACCATCGTCTCCCTTCTCTCCCCTTCCAACTTCCCTTTCTCAGCTGGGAGACGTTCAAGCCAATCAGCGGCATGCTTCCAGAACTGCACTGGAGTGCATGGGACCCCGTAGTGGAATATCACACCTTTGCCTCCCTCTTTCCCTCTCGCCCTCAACCATCGACTCCCTTCTCTCCCCTTCCAACTTCCCCTTCTCAGCTGGGAGACGTTCAAGCCGGTCAGCGGCATGCTACCAGAACCGCACTGGACCGCGTGGGACCCCATAGTAGAGTACTGCGCCTTTGCCTACGCCACGCACATCGTGGTCGCTACCCTCCGCCCGCAATTCCGCTGCCTGGGTCACGTGGCCGTGCGGGGGGCAACGGGAGGAACCTGGCACCGGCGTCAGCTCTTTCTGGCTACCCCCACCTCTGTCGAGTGAGTGGTTTAAGGGGTTTGGAGGGGTCCTGAGGGGTTTTTGTGGAGTGCATCAGTTTGCTGTGCGCTGCGCCCGCAGTTCCGCTGCCTGGGCCACGTGGCAGGCAGAGGGGCGACAGGAGGCACATGGCACCACCGCCAACTCTTCCTGGCTACGCCCACCTCAGTCGAGTGGGTTTTCTGGTTCCTTTTGGCTTAGTTCGGGGATTCAGTGTTTCTGAGGGGTTATGAAGGGTTAAGGGGGTTCGAATCGAAGGGCGTTATGGAATATGTTACGAGTGCAGTGCATGAGTGTGAGGAGGTCTGCTGTGCCTAGTGTTGTACTCTTTCTCCATACAACGCTATATTGGTGCGACTCTTGAGAATCCTCAAAAGCCGCACCAACGCCACGCAGATTGTGGTGGCCACGATGCCTCCGCAGTTCCGTTGCTTGGCCCACCTGGCGGTCAGGGGCGCCATGGGGGGGCATGTGGCACCGTCCATGCTACCCTCTCCATTCTTCTCCTCTCTCCCTTCTGCCCCCTCTCCATCCAGGTGTGTGTTTGTGGATGCGGGTGTGAGTGCGATCGACCTGGAAACAAGGAGGCGCAAGGAGGAGAGGAAGAGGAGGGAGGAGGAGGCTAAAGTGGTGGCAGAGAAGGGTGAGCTGGCTCTGCTGGCCATGGCGCCTCCCAAGACAGAGGAGGCACCGGAGAGGGTTCAGCTGCGGCCTCCCATGCTGCAGGTGAGTGCGGTGAACTGTGGTGCAGTGCGGTGGAGCATGTTACAGTAGGGTGTGCCCGCTTGTGAGCCTGAGAAGGGCGAGCTGGCTCTGCTGGCCATGGCGCCTCCCAAGACGGAGGAGGCGCCTGAACGGGTGCAGCTGCGGCCGCCCATGCTACAGGTGAGTGGTGGTGCACTGCGGTGCAATCCAGTGCAGCATGTTACAGTAGGTTGCTTCTTCTCCTGTGAGCCTGGGAAGGGTGAGCTGGCACTGCTGGCCATGGCGCCTCCCAGGACAGATGAGGCACCGGAGAGGGTTCAGCTGCGGCCTCCCATGCTGCAAGTGAGTCGGTGCAGTGCAGTGCAGCGTGTTACAGTAGGGTGTCTTTGTTCACCTGTGAGCCAGGAAAGGGCGAGCTGGCTCTGCTGGCCATGATGGAACCACCCACGACAGAGGAGGAGGAGGCACCTGAGAGAATGCAGCTGTGACCGCCCATGCTGCAGGTGAGTGTGGTGCGGTGCGGTGTAGCGTGTTACAGCAGGATGCCGGTTATCTTGTGAGCCTGTGAAGGGCGAGCTGGGTGTGTAGGTGAGTGAATGGACTAAGCTCACTCGCTCCCTGTTCCTTCTCCCTCCCTTCTTCCCCCTCCCCACCAGGTGGTCCGCCTCGCCTCCTTCTCCTCGCCCCCAGCAGTCCCTCCAATCTCAGCCATGGCTCGGGCCTGCAGCCTATCAGCCGACGCCACGTCAGCGCCGCCCGGCACGTCATCAGGCCCGGGGCTGCTGGACGGCCCCGAGGTGAAGCCGCCCGAAGTGGTGGTGGGCGGCGGGGGCGTGCCGGTGGCAGCCGGGCGGCTGCCGATGGAGCAGCGGCGGCCGGTGGGGCAGGTGTATGTGGTGGGGGTGCGAGACGGCGTCCTGTGGCTCGTGGACCGGTGAGTAAAGTTGCTGTGGTGGTCTCTGAGTAGAAAGGCCCATAGTCCTCTCTTTAGTGTCTCCCCTTCCCCCTCTTCCCTCGTTGATCTTAACGCGCCTTCCATCCTGACCCCTTCAACCCTCACCGCCCACGCCACCCTTACCCTACACTGTGTCATTGCTCTCACCCCCCTCACCTCCCTCACCCACCCCTCTCACCAGGTACATGACAGCGCATGCCATCTCCCTCTCCCACCCCGGAGTGCGCTGCCGATGCCTCGCTGCTCATGGCGACCCCGTTGGTGCTGTCAAATGGTGCGTGCCTCCTCTCTACCCCTCCATCTCTTCTTCCCTCTCCACCTCTCTTTATCCATCTCTACCTCTCTACTCATGTCAAGCGCATTGCCGCCATTAACTGGTCTGCGCCTTTTTTTTGTCTTCCTCTCAATTCCCTCACTTACTGCTCATGTTGATCCTCCCCACCACCTCACTATGATCCTCACTTACTACTCATTCCTTGCGCTCCTTGCTCTCTCTCCGCGTTCTCTCCTTCTTGCCACCCCCTCACCTATCCTATCCTCTCATGGCCCCCTCACCCATTTGAAGCCTCATGCCCCTTCTCTCCCTATTGTCTCCGTAATTCTCCCAATCCCTCACAACCCCTCGCCACCTCCCGTAACCACTCACCACCAGGGCGTCCCGCCTGGGCCGAGAGCACCATGACGACCTGGCGCAGTTCATGGTGGGCATGGGGTACGCGAGAGAGGCGCTGCACCTGCCTGGCTTGTCCAAGAGGTATGGTAATGACTGCTACAGTATGGTACATGCAGGCATGTATACAGGGTGTTCACTCACGCAGTTCATGATGGGCATGGGGTATGCGAGAGGGGCGCTGCACCTGCCAGGGCTGTCCAAGAGGTATGGTATTGACTACAGTATGGTACATGCATGTATGTATGCAGGGGGCTGGCTCACACAGTTCATGGTGGGCATGGGGTACGCGAGAGTGGCACTGCACCTGCCCGGTCTGTCCAAGAGGTGGGTGGGCAAGCGTGTTTGTGAAGGGGCGATGAAGTAGAGCGTAGGAAGGGCCGCAGGGTAGTTCTTTCACACTTAAATCATGGAGGGCAGGGCGTGGTTCCATGGGTATGCCAGGGACGCGCTGCACCTGCCTGGATTGTCCAAGAGATGGGTGGAGTGAAATGGATTGGAGTTACGGCAGTATAGTGTATGCAGGTAGGTAGGATGCGATGCTTCGTGCACAATTCATGGTGGCATGCTGATGATGCTGCTGCCGCCACCGACACCACCGCCACTGCTGCTGCTACTGCTCCTATCCCCTCTCCCTCCCCCGTCCCCTCCCTCCCCAAGCAGGTTTGAGTACGAGCTGGCACTGTCATGTCGCGAGTTAAACCGCGCTCTGCACTGCCGCCCTGTGTACCCCTCGGGGCTCCCTGGCCCTTGCTCATGCTGCTACTGCTTCTTTCCCCCTCCCTCCCCATCAGATTCGAATACGAGCTGCACTGTCATGTGGCGAGTTGAGTTGGACCACGCGCTGCACTGCCCACCCCATGTCCCCCCTCGGGGCTCCCTGGCCCCTGCTCATGCTGCTACTGCTTCTTTCCCCCTCCCTCCTCCATCAGATTCGAATACGAGCTGGCACTGTCATGTGGCGAGTTGAGTTGGACCACGCGCTGCACTGCCCACCCCATGTCCCCCTCGGGGCTCCCTGGCCCCTGCTCATGCTGCTACTGCTTCTTTCCCTCCTCCCTCCCCATCAGATCGAATACGATTTGCTGGCACTGTCATGTGGCGAGTTGAGTTGGACAACGCGATGCACTGCCACCCATGTCCCCCTCGGGGCTCCCTGGCCCCCTGATCATGCTGCTACTGCTTCTTTCCCCCTCCCGTCCCCATCAGATTCGAATACGAGCTGGCACTGTCATGTGGCG